CATACATTATACGAAGTTATACGACCGCGCAAAGCCCCGCGCGGCTGTCAGTCTGGCTGCGACGCGCGCCGATTGGACGAGCGGCCGCCGGGGAGCGGGGGCAGCACGTTGGGCTGCGCGCTACTTAAGGTCCTGCTGCGTGAGCCATTGACGTGTTTGGAGCTGGAGACGTCCTGGGCTGTGGAGGAGTTGCCGCCCGAGGTTAGTGGTTCCCCCTTCCCTACCTCCGCAGCGGCTTCAGGGAAGCGGGAATAGGGGGACGCACCTGGGCCGCCGCGGGCCCCGAACCCACATCTACCGACCGGAGCCGCTCCCTTCAGGCCTCGGCTCAGTGCGAGCCCCTTCCCGTCGCTCCTCTTTCCGCCACTCTGGTCTCTTCGAGCCGGCACCGAGGAAGGTGACCCCTTCCCTGTCCGGGTACCCCCAGCTTTTCCTTCACTCTCCTTCTCTACAGCTTTTGAAGCGCGATTGCCTGCTCCCATCCCCAGTTCCCTGCATTTTCCTTGCTCCCTGCCCCTTTCGGCATCTTCTCAGGACGAAGCAAGGTGTATTCACCTGTACCCGTCGTCCCGGATTAGACACTGACGGGCAGACCGCGGAGGGCGGCGAGGCCTGGGGTTCCCCTCTGTCTAGTTTCTCCTTCGACCTCTCCAACTCCCTCCGGTACGCCACCTTGGACTTCTTGACCCTGTCCCTCTGCACCCAACAGTGGGTTAATGGCAAGATGTGTTTCACCTTCCCTATTTAGCAGAGCCACAGACCCTGCCTTGGCCCCGACTTGGACCAGCATATGGGCAGGACGTCTTCAGTAATGTTCCCTTCCCCCTTCCCTTTCACAGCTACTTGGAGAGCGGGGACGTGAAAAACTGGATTGGAAATCAGCTACTTTATTAAGCAGTGTGCTCTTTGGAGTGGATTTTAGAGTTATTCCTCAAGTGTGCTGTGATTTTGCGGCCCCTCCCTCAAATCTTTGTTTGGTTTTCTTTCTGGCTGTCCTCTGCAATAGTGGAGCCTTGTAACATTTGTTTAGTACATGCAAAAAGTAAGTAGATAAGGCCTTTTTAGCAGAGCACTCGATCTTGCCCTTCAGCACCGTTCCTCACTGTAAATTGACATTTCTTCTTCATTTCCAGTTAATGCATGAGGAATTCATGCAAAGGAGGTGAGTTTCGGAAATCCAAACTTAGAGTGACTTGTATTTAGAAAACGGAAGGAAAAGGGAATGAAATGTGAATAAACTCATGCAACAAACTTGGTCCGGGTATATGTGATGTTACCTAGGTGTTACTTTTGAAGAATTTCTGACTGATGATGATAATAAAATACAGAGTAGAACACTTTCATGTAAGGCATACAACTTGAATTTTGTGTCTGATCCTTGTTGAGATTATTACATCCAAGGTGTATGAAAAGCTAAACAGAGTTCTGTGTTCTCACATCCAAGGCTGTGAACTTGCTTAGTACCATCATCTCTCTTAGGAGGAAATCAAGCCTGCAATAGAATTGTGTTGAGAAGAGGAAGACGCTTCTAGATACAATTGAACAACATCTTGGATTTCTTTTTTGCGAAGGTGTTTCTGTTAGCTGGGTATTTTCATGTATTGTTCAATGAAAATCATAAAATAAAATGATTAGTTATAGGTTACTGAAAGTTAAGGACCCCAAATAACCAAACCCTTCTCATCCTTCTTTGCAAAGATTGGTCTGCTTTAGCCTGGACATCTTGATCTTTCCCTTAACAGACGACTCTTGATTAAGAGTACCCCATTCATCAGGTTTGATTGTTCTTCCTGAATAAACTTCATTTCTTTGAACATAATTGATGTTTTTTGATGGTCCCATTGTGGTCAAGGAAAGTAGAAACCAGTTCATACAAAAATTCTGACCTCTGGTTATACAGGCCAATGCATTTTTTTACTCAGTGGAGTTTTGTAGGTCACACTGCATTTGCTGCCTTCTCCCTTGACATTGCTTTAAAGATAGTAGGCACACCAATTTCAGTTGAATTACATGATAACGAGCAATTATCCTGGGATATAGTTGACATATTTACTATGTGTGTATGACTTGACTTGGAATAACTAATTGGCTTTTGAGGAACTGTGATCATCTTTAATCGATAAAGACTTTTACAAAGCTCTGTCTCTAAGACTTGAGTGGGAAGATTACTGAATCATTGCAGCATTCCTGACTTACTTCAGCCCAGGGAAGTATCACTTAAATAGAAGATGCCACTGGAAGTAAAGTTTTAACATTTTTTTTTTAAATCACTATGGCTTTTCAAAATGTCAACTAAGCAGTAACTTTGCTCTTCTTGTGCTGGCCACAGAGTAGGCACTCCAGTACTTTACTTGATGAATGTTTTTGCTAAAATTGGGCTGTACTCAATTTTTCTGTGCTTATTTTGTATGCTAATCAACATATAATAAGGAAGTAATTTTTAGAGTGTATACCATATTCTTAGATTTTGTTAGTACATTTAGTTGCTTAAACTTAAGCAGTGAGCATGAACTACAACTGAATTATAGTTGAACTGTATTTCTTACTGTTCAGTATAATCAAATTTCAGTAGATCTTTGTATGAAGGCACCATGGCAAAACAAAGGAAGGACACATCCAAGTCTTTATTCTCAAAATATGGAGAATACATGAAGTTCCTCACTACATGGTCATTATGCCAAAATTACATTTTCAAGTGTTTCAAGTGGGGCTAAAGGTATTTATTGTTTTATTTTCTATCATCTACTGTGTAACTCTTCCCCATCTTACTTGCAGTAAGAAGACTGTTAGGATGCCCATGGTAATGCGGAGGCTGAGAGATCCTGACATAAATCCTTGCCTGCCGGTAGGGTGGTTTGCTTCCAAGTGTTAAGTTGGAAGAACAGGCTTCTTCTAATTTTGGGGGGGTATCTGTTTTTGCAGTTGTATTAAAGTTATTTCTGTTACAAGAAATAAATTTCCTGGCCAGTGTATTCTTATTTCACTAGAGTGTTTTTAAATATTCATAATTTAGTTAACAAAGATTTACCTCCTCTTTAGTATCCCTTATTTGTATAATATGCAAACATTTAGTTGTCACTGTAATACTACATAGTCATATGTAACACTGAGGAAAATCTTTAGTCCAAACATGGAAATTTGGAAGGTATGATATTTTTAAACTGTCACTGAAATTTATGGTTTTAATAGCAATAATTTCATCATGTCTTTGAGACAACCTGGCTGAGATTAATGGACTAGTAATAGAATTAGCCTATTCAAAGCCTAAAGATTTTCACAACAGTATCTTATAAACCAAATATTTTGCTGTAGTAATAAGCTTTTATTGGCATTATATGGCCTGCAGTACTGTGGCTTTACTGCTCTTGAATAATGCATTCATCATACTGGCTGGTGCTAGGAGAATTATACTCCCTAATCCAATATGCATTTTCCAAATGTATATATTCATTAAATATTTGGGATAGAAATTTATGTTCTGTATATTAGGTCTGTTTTCAGAAAGTCTATTAAGTAAATCAGTTGAGATAGAACATGTTTTAGATCTGTGAAGCAAATTACCTTCCTGTTTAGTTAAACCTTAACTTCAGATGACTTCTCAGAATCATACCTTTCACTTTGAAGTTTGTTATCCAATCTACTTCCAGTTCATACAGCTTAAATTTTAATTTCCAAATGGTAGCTACCCTCCTTTGAACTCATAGCCCTGTGCTGCTCACTTTGGTTTTGAAGTGATGTTAATGGTATCTATTAAAATTGCTTACATAATAGTGTGTTTACTTATGTAATGGAGTGAGTGATAGCCAAAAACGCACTGAGATGAATGGTGGTAATTTAAGTTGCCTTGATGTAGACCAGTTATTAGCAATTTACTTGGGATCTCAAAACCAACATTAAGATTAAACTATTAAAGCCAAAGTGAGAATTTAGAAAAGCAGGAGAGCTGTACTGTGGGAGACTGGGTTGTGATTCTAGCTGCACGGCAATGTTTCTGAGCACCTTGCCTCAAAAGTTTCTTGTTTAATGGATTAAATGATGTCAGTCCATGCAGTTCAAATTCCTGTGATCAGATATTCAGAAAACTGGCCCAGGCTATGAGAAGGAAGATGTCTGCCTGAGCAGAATGAGTGCTGGGATAGCTGGCAAGATAATTCAGTTTTTATAAGTGTGTACCCATTTAAACGAACAAAAATGAACTATTTCATATTTTCTGCTTTGGGGGGAAGCAGCTTCAGAAATTTTTGTGGTTTTTTTTTTAAGATCTCATTCTTCGTTTTAAAAGATCCCTCTCTTACGTGTTTAAGGAATCTGATGCTTCTATTAGATGCATGAATGAAAATAACTATGACAAAGAAAGATGTTCCATTTACTTCTTGAAGTACAAAAACTGCCGGAGATTCTGGGTAAGCCTAGTAGCTTGGTTAGCTTTAAGTTAAAACCCATCTGTTAGGCCTCAAACTAAGGCCTGGAATTAGTCAGTACACACTATTCTTTCCTAGTGATGGCTGTAGAGAAACTTAACGGTTTGACTTTATCTTGTGTGTTATGTTAGCCCTAAAGGATCCTCGAGAGCTCTTGCGAGCTGCCTCATCCTACTTACTCTAAGGTATAAGAATGCAATATTAATATAGATAGTTCTTCCTAGGGATATAAATATCTGCAGCCCAGAAGTACTGAGTTGAGTTTTCCTGGAGTTGAACCCTGCCATAACACATTACATTAGGCATCTACTTCTGCCTCCTCTCCCACTGCTATCCATAACAGTTCAACCGTTTCCATGTTTTTCAAGACATTGGTATATAATTTCTGTTTCCCTGAGCACTGATCCAGCTATTTCCTTTCCTTTTACTGAGTGGACTGTTGGTTTCATTTAGCAGTTATTCAGTAGCTCTCCCAGGTGGACTATACACATGTACTTCAAAAAGTTCATGGAAACAATAGAATTAAAAGATAAATACTAATCTCTCCATGAACTTTTTGAAGACTCCTCATATATATGCTTGTGTTCCTGTACTTATACAGTATATCCCCTTCCCAATTACTTTTAACATATTCCTATGGGAATAATCACTTCTATTTGTTTAAAACATTTATCTGAATTCCTATAGTTAGGTTTTGGTTTTTTTTTTTTTAACTTGGCTTTTAGAATTTCCTTTTTGGGGAAGCAATAGCGAATTACTGACAAATGACTAGCATTTAATACATGACTAATTTTGGTTTCTTCTTTTTTTATGCCCATACACAGCATTCTGTCATGATCCAGAGAAGACGGAATGGAGTGAATCCACCTATGCCTACAGCAGCAGAAAGAGATGAAATCTTGGGAGCAATGGGAAAGATGCCCTATTGAATGTTTGCATTAAAATTGTTTATATAATTTAGAAGCAGATGAATATTTTTAATAAATGATTGCTGTAATCTTTTAAGACTTTCCAGGCCTCACCCCGACAGATTTTAAGTTCTACAAGGGGAGACAGAGTTAAATTAGCCCTGTGTGCTTTTTGTCTGCTCTCAGTGCCATGATGATGGTGTACTGCTGGCTGTTCTGTGGCACTGAGTTTACAGTGCTTCCTCGAGGTTAGGGAGTGTTAGCAAAGGCTATGAGAGGAGCTGAACTTTTCCCTCAGCATCTTGAAAGGAACATCAGATGTAAACACCTAAAGACTTAGTGGGGCTGAGAGGAAAGCAGTGTTTCCAAGGCAAAGAAATGATGTGAGCAGCAAAGTGATCGATGCAGGCTTGGCCCCTGCTGGCGAGTAGTCTGTAGACTTTTGGACCTAGAGTTCCAGGTAGGTGGAGGAGTGTGGGGAGAAGACTGGAAAGGTAAGTTGAAGGTGTGGTGGGCCTCAGATGCCAGGCTCATTCCTAAAATTTCTGTCCTTACATCACTCACTTAAGTTTAAGTAACGTTAGTACATTCACTGGAGGCAAAAGGATGCATGGATGTTGTCCTAAATAAATGGCATGAAAAAAACTGTTCTTTCTATAAGGAAAGGCTTTGTTACAGGATTCTGTGACTAAACTCAGTAAATACTGGATAACCTTCTGAAGCCATTGCATCAGTTCTTGAACCACAGTAATGGGGGAAAAAGATTCCCTTAGAAGTAGGATTTTTATTTGCAAGATGAGATGGGCAAGGAAGGGAGTGGGGGTTCATCTGGTGAACATGACTCTAGATGAGACTAGAGTTTAACTTCCTTTTATGATATAAAAAAAAATAAATATTCAGGATAGTGACAGGTGGATTGTGTAGCAACCGTCCTTATGCCCACTGCCTTTTAAAATCCAGTTTGTTTAATCTACAGAATAGTTTTATGAAAGACATATTATTTAACAAAATTTAATGCATACTAGAACATCAATGAGAACAAATTGCTCATGCCTCTTCATCTAGTCCTACACCAAGAGCATCACTTTAATGGCTGCTGACCCTGAATATCCATCCAAGTCCAAAACCCAGCTCAGAAGTTTTTAAGCCATATGACCTTGATTGTTAAATGTGATTCTATTTGAATACAAAGTGGATTGTTTCAAAAATTTTTTAAATTTGTATTGATTACTATAAAAATGATGGATTAAAAGATGGATTAAAATAGGACCTGAACAGAATTAATACATAATTGTGTGAGAAGCATTTCAGTACTTTTAAACATGCTTGTTTAAGGGTTGAGAATTTTAATGCCACCTTTTCAAACATACCTACCAATATCAGCATTCATCCTGTAGCTCTTTGTATTGCTTTAGCTAGCTCTCTTTAACTTTTTATTTTCAACACCTTTGCTTTATTGCTAAGCTGGGTCTCTGGACTGAGGTTTCCTGCCAGCTCCTGGTGGGCCCCATAGGGAGCTGTAGGTCTGGAGATTTGGGAAGAAACACTTGAGTGCTGAGGACCAAGGTGGAGCTCAGGCCGAGGCTGGCCCTGGGCAGCATTGGCCTGCGGATTCTGGTGACTGCCAAAGCTTCACGCAATGCACAGTTCCTCCTAGGATTATGGGGCACGGAGTCTGCTTACATAAAGAAAGGCTGCAGCCTGTACTCAACCCTGAAAGACTTTAAAAAAAAAAAAAAACTTTATTGAGATATAATTCACACATCATATAAGTCATCTATTTAAAAGTATACAATTCAATGGATTTTAGTCTATTCACAAAGTTGGGCATCCATCACCACAATCGATTTTAGGACATATTTGTTACCTCAAAATGAAACCCATGGTTAACATTTGCACTTTCCATTTCTTCCTAATGCCACCCACCACCACTTAGCAACCACTAATCTGCTTTGTATCTATATTATTGCCTACTCTGGACATTTATGTAAATGGAATCATATGATATGTAGTCTTTTGTGACCGGCATCTGTATAGATGAACTACAGCATAATGTTTTATCTAGATAATTTGTATAATTTCATTTAGCCTAATGTTTTCAAGGTTCATCTATATAGATGCACATATCGGTACTTAATTCTTTTTTTATTGCCAAATAGCATTCCATTGTATGGATATACCACATTTTATTTATACATTAATCAGTTGATGGGCATTTGGGTTGTTTCCAGTTGTTGGCTACTGACTTATGCTGTCTCTTGAACATTTTGTACAAGTTTTTGTGTGGGCATTCATTTCTCTTTGGGTATATACCTAGGAGTTGAATTGCTGGGTCTTATGGTAATTATGTTTAACCTTTTGAGGAACTGACAAGCTGTTTTCCAAAGTGGTCACACTTTTACAATCCCACTGGCCGCGTTTGAGAGTTCTAATCTCTCCACATCCTCATTACTGCTTGTTGGCTGCCTTTGATTACAACCATCCCAGTGGGTGTGTATCTCATTGTGGTATCTCATTGCGGTTTTGATTTGCATTTTCTTGATGGCTAATGATGTTGAGCATCATCAGTTAGTGTGCATATTGGCTATTTGTATATCTTCTTTGGAGAAATGTCTATTCAGACCCTTTCCATGTTTTTTAATGGGGTTGTTTTAATTACTGAGTTGTAATAGTTTTTTATATACACTAGAAACAAGTACTGTATAAGGTAGATGGTTTGCAAAAATTTTCTCCTATTCTGTGGGTTGTATTTTCACTTTATGTTATTCTTTGGAGCACAAAAGTGTTTAATTTTGAAGTCCAATTTATTTTTTTATTGTTGCTTTTGATGTCATATGTAAGAAAGCATTTCCTAATTCAAGGCCACAAAGATCTACACCTTATAAGAGTCTTATGATTTTAGCTGTTACATTTAGGTCTTTGATCCATTTTGAGTTAATTTTTATATAGGGTGTGAGGTAGGAGTCCAACTTCATTCTTTTGTATGTGGCTATCCAATTGTCCTAGCACCACTGGTTGGAAAAGACTGTTCTTTCCCCCACTGAATTGTCTTGGCACCCTTGTTGCAAATGAATTGATTGTACATGAGGCTCAATTTACTTCTGAAATCTCAATTTTATTTCATTGTTCAAAGATATGTCTATCCTTATGCCAACACTAAACTGTCTTAATTATTGTAGCTTTGTGGTAATGGCATAGCTCTTTGGAGATTGGTTTCTAGAGGTGTGTTTTTGATGAACTGCTCTTGATGACAAACTTCACTAATTGTTTTGGGATTTTTCACCAGCAAGTTGTTAACATATATTTATATGTAATCATAATATGGCTCTACCCAAGCAAAACTATTCATTTCTAAATTTGTCTTCAGTTATTTCCTAATTCCATCGCCACTGTGAAATTTGCCACTATTGTATTTCTCTCTCCAGGATTCTACTTTGGGAGAGATGAAGCTAATTAATTTGAGAAATAATTGTGTCAGGATGTGAGTGAGTGCAGTGACAAGTTTTGGCATCACGCAAACCTTTGATATCAGCTATCAACTAACAAAATATGTAGAAGGCACTTTACTGTATTCATGTGCATCTCACTCTTGTAGGAAGCATCTCATTACAGATTCTCAATGGGATGCAGGAGGGCAGAACAGTGTCTGTAGCATGTAAAAGCAATCCTTTGGAGAACTGCCATATCCATATTTAAGCTCCTGGAGGACATAAGCAATATTATCCATGGCTATATCCATAATGCCTGGTCAGCTTCTGGTGTGTAATAAGTGATTAGCAAATGTATGTGATTGGGAGGTGGTGACTTTCAAAATTTAACACATTGAAAAACATGTGGATTTTAAAATGCAAAGGGGTATAAAATGTACAATAAATCTACCCCAGAAGTAGCCACTGCCAAGTGTTTTCAAGGTTTTCCATGCATATACAAGCATATCTGTGTATGTTTATTTTGCACAAATGGAACATCATAATACATGAGCTGTAGGGAACCTTTCTTTTTTCACTTAATGACATAGTTTGAAATAGTTTTTTATCCTTGCTTATAGATTTCCTCCACTTCTTTCAGTGGCTGCAGTTCCATTGTATGATATACCATTTGTGAATCAATCTCCTATTGATGGGTATGCTATTAATACACAAGGTTGCAACAGTCATCTGTGTATGTGGGTCTTTGCCCGTGTGTGTTTTTATCTGTATGATAAATTTCTAAGGAGGAATTTCAAGTTTAAAGGTTTCCACATTTTGAATTTTGTAGGTATTGATAAATCAATCACCCTCCAAAGAGGAGCACACCTATTTATACTTTTAAACAAAGCCTGTGAGTGTTTCTTTTCTGATACCCTCATTCCCACTGGGTACTTCAAAACTCTTTCATCCTTCCCAGTCAGATCAGTAAAAAATAGAACAGATGTATTCATTTTCTTTGTTTTTCCCCCCCAGAGTGTTGGTGTGAATTTTGGGGGGAACTAGGTATATTATGGAAATCACCTCTTTATCATACATATTCTGTATATTTTTCCCGTCAGTCTATCTTTTGACTTTTTAAAACATTTCTGTGCAGTGTTGTTCATTTTAATGTTTTTAAATTGATTAATCTTTTTGTTTATGACTTCTGGAGCACAATAAATATTAAATTAATTTAAGTACAAGTACTGATGTTACAGTTCAATTCTGCTCAAATATTTGCCGAGTGCCTGCAATGTGCAAGGTGCTAGGCTAACGGTGTGGATGGAGGAGTAAGTCACCAGCCTGGCCCTTGAAGAACTTCACTATGCTGCAAGGAAGAATGAAAGGAACACATAGGAGGAGGAGGAGCAAACTCCTGAGAGGGTCAGTAGCCTTAATAAACACAAAGGGGCACGTACACATGACGTATTTGGGGAGAAGTCCTTACAGAAGCCAAAGTACATGAAGGGAGGTAGCAGGAGAAAATACACCTAGAAAGGTAGAATGCGTTCGGATTAAGAAGGGCCTTGAATGCTGTGCTTGGTATCTAAAACCTTACTCTGTACATAAGAGAAGCTGTTAAGAGTTTTGAGATGCAGGCTGTAAAATACAGTTTGTGTTTAGAAAAGTCATTTTGGAGGTGTTGAGGCAGAG